AGGGCGTTCACCTTTCCCGGGTGCGCTGCTGACCTGCGCTCCTCCTCGCGTGCAGAAGGTGCGCTCCTTACGGCGGTGTTGTTACGTCGTGTGCGATGCTGTGTTCGAAACTCTGTCAACGAGGTGAACAGAAGTGGGTTAAAGAGGGTAAGTGGGCCGGCTGCCCAGGCGGATGGGGGGGCTTCCAGTTTCCAGAGCCCCTTGATCACCTGGGAGGACTCCTACTACAATGATCGGGCCTGGGAGTTCGTGCATGCAGATGGCGGTCCTGGTCCTAGGATGGGCTGGGAATGGAGATGCTCTTTGGTCTTGGAGATGTGGGGAGATTTTTATGAAATTCCCCGGCCCCAGGGAACTGAGCCTGAGGCCAGGCCCGACACAAATAAATCTTCCAAGTGGTGTTTCCATTTCCGTGCGGCGACTCCCCTTTCCTGTCTGTCTTTCGTAGGAGGTCCGCATGCTGGCCTCTCAGGCCTTTGTCTTTCGCCCTTGACACGGGTTTGTACGAGATTCCCAGGTGGGCCTCAGCAGCCGTCTAAGCTCTGTGTCCGTGAGGCCTGGCAGGGGGCGAGACATTGGGAACAGCCTCCAGGCGCTCACAGGCGAGTGCGCGGCCGGCAACGGGGGCTGCGCGTTCCAGGCTGCTCAGCTCAGAGGACTGAGCCGGACCCTGGACAAGGGATGGAGGCACAGAGCGGGAGTTGGCAGATGCTGCCTGCAGGTTCTGGGTCACTTTTTCGTTTGCTCGAGGCTCCTGGACGGCACAAGACTGGCGAGTGGGGCTGATGTGACATGGTCATGTACTACTATTAGTCCATAGGCTTGAGTCTGCCGTGGGACAAGGCTGGGCAATGTGGTATCAACTTAAGGTTGTCTTGAAGATATGAAATAAATTTTGGGTGCAGGTGCAGATTTCCCAGAAACTGTGGAGATGGTCCTCAGATGACAGAAAATTAAGAAGCAGTGTTCTAGATAATGGCGCTTGTCCTAGGGCCAGAGATGTTTGGGGCTCAGGAAGCAACTCTTAGCGACTGTCGTAGGCTAGTTTGCTGTGATCCGGCCCCTTGCGGGGGCAGGCAGACGCAGGCCGGGAGAAGCCAGTCATCCTAAAGGTTCTGGAAAGGTGGTTGTCGTTTCTCAGGCTTTGCTCCTGGTGTGCTCTGGGCCATCTGGGCTCTCTCTGAACCGTTGTTGCTGTTCCCTCGGGTGCGGTTGAGTCCTGGTTGTCCAGAGCTGACTCTCCCACCCTTTTCCAGTGTCAGGATTTGATGAGACCTGGAAAGGAGTTCCTCCTCCCGTGATGCTGTGGAGGAAGAGTGGATGGATTGCTTTGGCCGTGACCCAGTAGAGCGGGCTCGTGTGCGCGCAGGAGTGGGGAAGGCCCACCAGGCTGGCCTGGCCAGATTCCCAGCCTGGCCGTCTCCTTTGAGGTCCCAGCGATGCTCTTCCTGGGGCACCGAGCACTGGGCTTTGAGATGGGAGTTTAGGTTCCACAGGTTTTGGGAGCTGCGAGATCCTTAATTTGGTTTGCTGACACCTTCTTTCCTCAATAATGCTGACTGTAGAGGGGAGGCCATTGCCCCTCGGTATCTGCAGGGATTGCCTCTAGGACTCCATGTGGATACAAAATCCATGGATGTTTAAGTCTCTTATGTAAGATGATGTAGTGTTTGCAGGTAACCTACACACATCCTTCTGTATACTTTAAACTATTTCTAGACTACTTAGAATATACCTAGCACCTAGGGATGCGGTGGGAGCTTGGGGAATACGCGTAAGCAAACCTGTACGCTCCGCATGGACGCCGTTTCCCCTGAGTGTGTTTTGATCTGCAGTGAGTTCAGTCTGCAGATGCAGTGCCCGCTGATGCGAAGGGCTGGCTGAGCTTCCATTTTGGGAGGTAGATGCTTCTGGGATTGCTGAGATTTGGGGCAGCCTGTGGTTTTGGAAGCACAAAGAGGTGCTTTCTCGGCAGGCTGACGTCATGGGAGCGCCAGCCTTTTCGAGAGCCCTTCTGTGTGGGGTCACCGCCTGGGCGTCAGTCTGGCCATGGCCAGGCGGTAGTTTGGTGCTTGCTGGCGAGCTCCAGAGAAGGTGCCCTGCCTGCTGCTGAAAGAAGTCTCCTCTTCATATAAGAAGCTTTTGGGGTTAAAAATGTAGTCGTCATTCATTATAGACAACAGAGGAAAGTGGGAAAATCCACCTCACTGGCTTTCTACCCAGAGACAACCACTTTAGTCATATCAGTTACTTCTCAGTTACACAGCTAACGTATGAACACCTGCTCCCTGTAACAATTTAAACATACAGATAATGCTAAAATCTCTCTTGGCCACGGTCAGTCTGGGTTAAACAGAAAGTGTCGTATATGGAAGTGGCAACTACAATAAAAGAGTAACTGTAAGATGTAAGGAAACTGTGTGGTGTCCTCGGGCCGAGGGGAGTGCGTGAGAAAGGATGGACCTGGATGGGGACCAAAGCCGGGGTTCAGACCTCTTGAGAGAAGGTGTGGGTTCATCCACAGGAATGCAGAGATGTTCACTGGTCTCCCTGGGCTCCGGTTGGTCTGTGGTCACCAGGTAAGCAGGAGGCGACCCTCCCGGGTGCAGCAGGCTCAGGCTGTGAGCAGGCGGTGGCATTGTCCTGCCGAGGGAATTGTGTGCCAGTGCGGGCAGGTGGCGTTTGGGCACTGGTTTCCACCCTGAGGACTGGGGGAAGCTGAGAAATTTTCAGGAGGTCAGGCTGTGGCTGTAGGTCGCCCGGGGACTGTGTGTTTGGGACAGAGAGCGTCCACATGTGCTTCACACCACACCCCGATCCACCCTGCAGCATCCGGAAACCACAGGAGAGGCCTGTCCTCCGGCGGTGTCCCTCCACTTGCCCTCCTGCCCTCCTGCCGTGTCCCTCCACTTGCCCTCCTGCCCTCCTGCCGTGTCCCTCCACTTGCCCTCCTGCCCTCCTGCCGTGTCCCTCCACTTGCCCTCCTGCCCTCCTGCCGTGTTCCTCCACTTGCCCTCCTGCCCTCCTGTGGTGTCCCCCCACTTGCCCTCCTGCGGTGTCCCTCACTTGCCCTCCTGCCATGTCCCTCCAGCCCCTCCGCTGAGAAAGTCTCACCTCCCTCTCACTGCGGACGAGACACTGAAAGGGACCCTGCCGTTGTGGCAGAGTGCGTGTCGAGGAGGATATCGGGAGCCGAGAAGAAGTTCGCTGATCACTGGCACCGCCAGTTTGGATCTCACTCGAGAGTAGCCACTCTATTCAACTGGCTATTTTGGTGTTTTCCTTCCAGACTTTTCCCTGTGTAATTTCAGGTATTTGTAGGCACCTGAGGAAACAGTTGCTTTGTTCTTCTTTAACGTATACGTGAAGCATCGCGATTTTCACACCGCAGCCTGCCTGTTCATGCAGCTGTGTCTTCTCGCCCTCTCCATTTTCATATGGATTTTTTGGGGGGATGAGCTGTAGCGACGTGTCACATGCGGCTGTGGAGTACTTGACACGTGGCTGTTGCCACTGAATAACTGAGTGTTGAATTTCGTTGCATCGAAATTATCATGAAATAGCCGCCGGTGGTCAGTGGCCCCTGTGTGGGACGGCAGGTGCAGGTCCCCTTGCTGAGAAGCATTTAGGCCGTTCCCGTTGTCGACCTCGTGCACACATGGACGTGTCTCAAGGAGGCTGCTGAGCGTGGGAAGTGCTGGGTCTCGCGAGGATCCTGACGGTGGCAGTGGCTGCCCGCCTGCCCCTCACTGCCTTCTGCCGCTGCCGGCCCACCGTACAGGAGTTGGTTCTGTGCTGTTTCTGTAGCTCTGAGCATATCACTTACGCGTGTTTTTTCACACAGCTTTTTTGTTTCTAAATATCAGGGTGACACTTTGCATACATTTAAGGTGACTCTAATATCACAGCATGATTTCCTTACAGCCTCAGTGGACTTTTCAGTTGCTTCTATTTCTCTTTGGGTGTTACAAAGACCACTGAGATGAACACCTCAATGTATAAAGCGATTTCTGTGTCTGGCATTATTTCCTGTGACTGGATAGATAGGACGGAAGATGAGGTAGGAAAAAATCTAATCCCAGAATAAGAGGGCATGAACATTGGCTGCAACAGCCACGGCTGCTAGACTGTGCTTCTGAGCGCGTGTGTTTCTTACCCAGCACCCGCCGAGGCCCGAGTACCAGTCCCCGTTTCTGCAGAGTGCCCAGTTCGTCTTTGGCCACTACTACTTTGACTACCTGGGGAACCTCATCGCCCTGGCAAACCTGGTGTCCATTTGCGTGAGTGCGGATTTGCCTCAGAGCTGGCCTGGAAGTGCCTGTTCCCACCTACCTTGCACGGGAGCCTGCCCCGCCTGCCCCGCCTGCCTCGCCCAGCGCTGTGCTGGGCCAGCCGGTGAGCCCTCTGCTCTGGCTTTGCAGGTGTTCCTGGTGCTGGATGCAGATGTGCTGCCTGCTGAGCGTGATGACTTTGTCTTGGGGGTAAGTTCTGAGCTGCCCACCTGTCAGGGCCAGGGTGAGGCTGGGCAGGGCTGCCAGCCCTGGGGCCCAATGCTGGGTGCCTCTTCTGCCCCTTTAGATTCTCAACTGTGTCTTCATTGTGTACTACCTGTTGGAGATGCTGCTCAAGGTCTTTGCCCTGGGCCTGCGAGGGTACCTGTCCTATCCCAGCAACGTGTTTGATGGGCTTCTCACCATTGTCCTGCTGGTAAAATAGGCGCGTCCGAGCCCGGCCTCTCCTGGGCGGGTGGGTGAGCGCCACCTGGGCTCTGTGCTGGCCCATCTCAGGCCTCCCCTGAGGACCAGAGGCTGTGGGAAGGTGGGCTTCTGTTCTCAGTGGTGAGGGCTGGCTTCCCTTCTGGCCGAGTTGCTCAGTGGGTAGCCGGTGGGGGCTCTAGGAGGCTGGGTTTCTACTGTGTCTGAGTGTCATAGGGGGCAGGCTGCCACTCCTGACCCCCAGGGGAGGCCCTGAAGGACCCGTAGCCCTGGCCAGCGACTCCAGCCTGGGGCACAGCCTCTAATGTCACTGATAGACGGTGTGACCTCAGCATGGTGGAGCGAAGGGCCGGGGGCTCTCAGGCACCAGGGTGTTCTCGGGAAACGCTTACACTTCCTTTCCCCAGACCCCGTGGGAGTGAGGGCATGTCACCCTCGGGGTGTGTGTCACAGGCGGCCACATCAGAGTGACGTTTGCTGTAGCTGGCAGGCCGCTCGGCACGCAGGTGAAGAGAAGCTTGAGAAGGGCCCTGCGGTCTGTCCTTGACTCAGTAGTTTTCTGCCATCCCCGCCCCCAATCTGTGCAGTCCCCCGATTCCTGAGGCCCCCGATTCCCGATTCCTGAGGCCCCCGGTTCCTGAGTCCCCCGATTCCTGAGGCCCCCGATTCCTGAGTCCCCCGATTCCTGAGGCCCCCGATTCCTGAGTCCCCCGATTCCTGAGGCCAGGGTTTCTTTCCAGCTGAAGGGAGTCCCGACATCTGCAGCCAACCCACGGGGTCCAGGACCAAGCTCTGGTTTCTCCCCAAAAGCCCCTTTTGGGGGAGAATGTGTTAGAGATGAGCTTTATATTTCCTTTAAGGGCCGCCCAGATAGTGTTGCTGTAGCGAAGCCTTCTTTTCTTTTGTAATTAAAGGTTTTGGAGATCTCAACTCTGGCTGTGTACCGATTGCCACGCCCAGGCTGGTATGTGACTGGGCAGAACCGAGGGCGGCTACAGCAAACAGCACCACCACCTAGCACCCCTGGGAGGGTTTCAGTGGTGTCCAGGGAGCCAGGCCTGCCCGCCGGGTCTGCTCTGACTCTAGGGCAGACCCCATGATGGTGGAATGGGTGGACCGATCCCTCAGCAGAGGCTGTGTTGGGGCAGGGCCCTGCCGTCGCTCTGGGCGTCCTCTCTCCAGAAGCTGGCGCTTGCAGGCTGTGGAGGGAAGCCGTTGTTTCCCCTCGGAGATGCCCTCCAGGGCAGCAGTGGGCTCCCCTCCGAGCACACATGCTGGGGGCTGGCAGTGGAGATGCCCCTGGCTCAGGTCTCAGGGGGCCTGTGATCACTGGGGTTGGACTGAGCCCCTCTGCTGGAGGGAAGGTCCTTGGGAGAGCCCCCAACTCACAGTGTGACCTTGAGTCATCACCTCCCACTCTGGATGTCACTTTAGCCCCCATAAAATAGTGGAGCCAGGGGCCTGGGGCTCGCTGAACTCTGATGCAATGTGCTGATTCCTCACTGCCAGGGTTCTGGCCATGAACAGACAACCTGGGCAGGGACTCTGCCCTGGCCATCAGCCGGGCTGCTCTGCCCTGGCAGTGTGGCTCCGGTGTGCCCGTGATGAGACAGGAAGGGTGGGGCACAGGGCCCAGTGTGCCAGCCTCGGCCCTGTGGTTAGGCCAGGCTCCTTGGGTCTGTGTGTGCTTTGTTATCCACCCCCCTGCCTAGGGAGCAGCTGGGAATCGCTTGGAGGGGGTGGGGATGGTGAACAGCAGAGGCTTGCTGTTCCGTCACCTCCCTAGGAAGCCCCCCAGGACTTAGGAAGGCAGGCAGTGCCACCGTGCTGCGCCATGGGGCTGGCGTGGCTTCGTCTTTCACGTGCACTGAGCATGCCAGCTGCACTTTGGTCTAAGTCATTACCTTGGGGGGCTGACACTCTGGATGAGAATGGGTTTGAGTTTCAATAGAAATGAAAGCATGGAAAGACCGAGACCCGCCAAGTGCAGGAAACCAAGGCAGGAGACTTGGCTCAACCAGTTCTGCTGGGGCCTGAGCTGGAGCAAGTTCAGTGTCTGGAGCCTCCGTGCCCTCCCGTGTGGACGGAGGGTCTCTATAGAAGGAGGACTGCAGCCTTCCTGCGAGGACTGGGTGGGAAGGTGTTGGGGGAATGGGGGTCGCTCCGGGGCTGCAGGTGGAAGCAGAGCAGTGAGTGGCCCAGCGTTGGCTGTGGGGTGCACTCTCCTCCGTGCCGTTGCCCTCCCTGCGCCTCTGTCCAGGAGCCCAGGCGTCTCTTTGTCTCCTCCCCGTGGGACTCCTGGGCCCCTCCCAACCCGCCCCCCGTGTTTCTCCCCAGGAGGCCGGAGATGCTGGGCTTGCTGTCGCTGTGGGACATGACCCGCATGCTGAACATGCTCATCGTGTTCCGCTTCCTGCGCATCATCCCCAGCATGAAGGTGCGTGCCGGCCCCACCCCCGTGCTCTCCCCGCCCTACCCCCGTGCTCACCCTGCCCTCCTGGTTCCCGCTGCTGCGTTGCTCCAGGGTGGGTGAGCCTGGGGCAGGAAGGGCCCGAGGACTGTGCCCGTCACTCTGGGCTCCCTGACTGCACCCTCAGCTCTCTGCCGTGTTCTTGTGATGCTGGGGTAGGGTCATTAGAAGCAGGAGAGCCCAGCCCTGCATTTCTGGGTGGGGAGAGCAAGGCGGGCAAGGGTGTGGAGGGCGCAGTGCTTTGGCCAGTCGCAGGAGCTCCTTGCGATTGGAGCCCTGGACACCAGCGCTCCCCCAGGTCTCTGAGGTTTCCAGAAAGGTCTTTGCCATGGCTCCCAGGGTGCTAGTAATGAGGGCAGCGGTATCCCTGGCCAGAGAACTCCTTTCCAGGATTCCTTAATGCGGGTGCAGGTGGCTCATGACCATCTCTGAGCACTGGTTTCTCTTAATGCACCGGTTGGGAGCAGTGGGCACTTTGGAAGTGCGGGCAGGCAGAGCTGGGGGTTCTGGGCCTCGCTGCTCCTGGCTCCATGTCCTAAGACCCCTATTCTGAGTGTCCAGGTCCCTCCTCTGTCCCCGTTCATCCTTCCTCTGAGCTGTGCACCTGTCCCACCTGGCAGTACGTCCCACTTGAAGGCAGCTCAGGGATCCTGAGCCTTCCTAGGGGGCTGCTGTGCTGGGACCTTCATACATACACACACACGCACACGTGTTCACACATAATTACAACCATACAGGTACCCACAATCATACACATATAGAATACAGCCGTGCATACGTGATCTCACACACAACCACACGTGACCGTGCACACGCATGCACACACAATCGCAGGCACACATGATCATACGCAGTCACAATACACATCATACAATACACATCATGCACATGCACACGTACATTCATATATACACGCACCCCCGCATCACCGTGTGTTAATCGCATGCGGACATCCATGTGAACCTATGCCTGTATAAGACGCATGATCGTGTGTGCACACATCCACAGTAAGGCCTCAGTGCCACCCACAGGTTCTTGGAAACTGTGACTTCAAGGGAAATGACGCACAGCAGGCCCTGGAATCACGCCGTTTTGCTTGAAGTCGCAGTTTCCCAGGGCCTCTCACGTGATTATTTGCATGCTCACGATGACACGCCCGTGTGCACACGTCCATGCTGACTGGTCTCCACTGTGGCATTTAGCTGTGTTGTGTAATTTGGATTCCTCGGGTGGGTTGATGCGGCTGATGTGAAAGCCTTTCTCCCGGCTACCCTGTGATGAGGAGGAGCGGCTCTTTGGAGCTGGGGCCTCCCTGCTGGTTCTCAGAGGCCCCTTCTCAGACTCAGTTCCTGCGGGTGGTCCTGCCACCTCTACCTCTGCATTGCTTTGGCGCCTCCAGGCCACAGAGTAGCTGACCCACCTGCAGTGGGTTGGGAGGTAGAGAAGGGCTTCCCACAGGGACTTGAAGTCAGTGCTTGAATGAGGCTGGGCTGGAGGTGTTGGGATGCAGGAGTGGGTGAGTGAGTGCGTGCGGGTGGGCGATGCAAGTGTGTGTGAGTGCGTGTGGGTAGATGTGGGTGTTCGGGGGTGCAAGGGTGTGTATGGGTGGATGTGGGGGCCTGACAGGCTGTGTGGGTGTGTAGAGGCGTGTGGGGTGGCTGTGGGTCCAGGTGTGTGTGGGTTGGTGGTCACTGGCCTGCCCCATCTTGCCTTTCCGTCCGGGTCAGGGTGGTGGGCCGGGATGGTGTCCCTCCCTGCGGGGCCAGGAGGAGTAAGGGCTGGTTCTCTTCCTGTCCTCAGCCGATGGCCGTGGTGGCCAGTACCATCGTGGGCCTGGTGCAGAACATGCGTGCGTTTGGCGGGATCCTGGTGGTGAGTCCCAGGCTGCTGCTGGCGGTGGGATATGCACTGGAGTGGGAGGCTGGGAGGCTGGCGGAAGGCAGTGCCGGGCCGGCTCACTGCTCTGTCGGCAGGAAGTTTCTTGGGTTTGGACGGCAGCAGGTTCCCGAGGCCAGGGGAGTACAGGGTCGGGGTAGGAAGCCAGAGGCATCCCGTTCTTCGCAGAGCAGGGCGCTCAGGGCGGTGTGGCTGGTGGCGCTGCGTGGGCATGCTTCCCGCCCATGCCACAGAGGGTTTTGGTAACTTTTGAGTCTCTCGTGTTTTCTGGGTTGTGGATCTCGTTGAGAAACTAATGACAGAAATTTAAGAGGCACAGGGCTTTGCCTCCAGGACCCCAAAGCCCACACAAGCCCTAGGGTGAGGACTTGGTTGAGGTTCCTTTCTTAGAGGGGTTTCAGGGACTTGCAGCCACATTTGCTGAGCAAGAACTGTGGGACGCCCCGGCCCCTCCCCTTGGCCAGCCTTCCAGCTGAGGAGCCCGTCTGCTCTGCCTGGTGACCGGGCTTGGGCAGGAGACGGGCCCGTGACCAGGCAGGCCCCAGAGCTGCTTCGTGTGGAGTGACAGGAGGCGCCCTCTGCAGGAAGCCCAGCCGCACTTCAGGCAGTTTTGTCATTTTATTCTGACCACGTTGACATAGAGACCACTGGTGTGAGAAGGTGTCTCTGGGGCCACGGGGTGCTCTGAGCTGGACCCCAGCTGTGCCTCGTGCCTCTGGAAATAGACGCCGGGAAGAGAATCTTGCCTCAGGCACTGTCTGCCCAGCCCCCTAACTTGCATAGCAGAGGAAACTGAGGCCCAGAAAGGGGACCAGGTTAGCCCAGGCGTGTACCCCTCCGCTCTCCACTGATGCATGTTAGGGATAGGCCTGGGGTGGGCCGGCAGCCTGTCCCCTAACTGTGGCTGCCAGGGTACCTGTATTCCCGTAGGAGCTCCGTGACCACCCCTGCCTGAGCCCCACTGTGTCTGCGGACCTGGCAGCCCTGGAGGAGGCCAGCTGCATGTGTTTTGAAGTAGCAGCCAGGCTGGAATCCCAGCTCTGGGCAGAGGGTCCTGGCCTCACAGGCGTCAGCCTGGCTTTGTGGTTCTGTCTGAGGGCGGGGAGGGGTGGGGGCAGGTCCGCCCATGGGTGGGGCTGACCAGTCCCTGGCTCCTGGCCCCCAGGTGGTCTACTACGAATTTGCCGTCATTGGGATCAGCTTGTTTCGAGGTGTCGTTGTGGCTCCCCCTGGAAACAGCAGGTGAGGTGGGGTCTGAGGTGCCATGGGGAGTGTCTCAGGGGTGCCAGCGTGGGTGGGAGGGCTTGGCGGCGGCCTTGGTGGGCTCAGCGTCTCAGGAGGGGAGGCTGTTCTCCCAGTTCCTTCATCTCCTGCCTCCACCCTCTTTTCCCGATCTCCAATTTCCACCTCCGCTCCGCGCCTCTGCTAGGAGCCCTTGCCTGGAGTCTGCTAAACACATTTCTCATGGCCTGCTCAGAGCAGCACTCTCCCTGCCCCTGACCCTCTGTACCCCAGTTTGGACCTTCAGGCCAGGCTGAGCACACCGGCAGAGGAGGGGCTGTAAGGTGTCAGGCCTCAGAATCTGGAGCCCTCGCCCCTGACCCAGGTGTGTTGTGACCCCCAGCCTGGCCTCTGCCAATGGCTCGGCGCCCTGTGGGAGCTTCGAGCAGCTGGAGTACTGGGCCAACAACTTCGATGACTTTGCGGTGAGCCCTGCGCCCTGCCCCAGCGCCCTGCTCCCTGGGCTCCTCCCCTCCCTACCTCCTGGGCCCTCCTGGACTGCTGGTCTCTGCCCCTGCAGGCTGCCCTGGTCACTCTGTGGAACTTGATGGTGGTGAACAACTGGCAGGTGCTCCTGGATGCCTATCGGCGCTACTCGGGCCCGTGAGTCCCCGTCTGGGCGGTGATGATTCTCCGTGCAGCCTGGGGGTTCCCTTGCATCCGGGCACGCTGCACTAGATGCCCGGAGCGTGGCTGCGACAGGGACTCGGGCCTTGACAGGGATGTCAGCCAGAGTGGCATCCTGGCTGGCCTTGTCCCTGCCCCCTGCATAGCCACATCGTGACTCTCAGGATGGTGGCCAGTGACTCTGGGTTTACACCTCCTGGAGGCCATTGGTGTGTTTGGGGCTTCTGAGGAAGTCCACGGGGGTGGGGGAGCCCTGGGAAGGCTGAATGAACGAGGTAGTTCAGCTCTGAGCTTGAGCTCAGACTGGCCCCAGCGATGGTCCTGGGTTTTAATCCCAGCACTGCCTCCTGCTGGCTGAGCTACCTCGGCAGCTTGTTGCACATTTCTAGGCCTCGGCTGGATTGTTTTGAGGTGGAAATAGTAGTGCGCTCTGTATCATGGCGTGCGTGGACCGGATGCCTAGGAGCCGTCCTGACCACACGGCAGCGGTGTCTGTATCGAGTGCTCTTGCTTTGCTCATCGTGGTTCACGGGGTGGGCCTCTGTCCTCCGCAGGTGGTCCAAGATCTATTTTGTATTGTGGTGGCTGGTGTCGTCTGTCATCTGGGTCAACCTGTTTCTGGCGCTGATTCTGGAGGTATCAGAGATCCCCACCTAGGCTGTTCTCTGTGGTCATTTGTTTCTAATTCACTCTCGATGGGCCTGAGGCCACTGGCCAGGCCTGCCTGGAACTTTGATGGGAGAGTTGTGCTGGGTTAGGCGGGTCCTGAGTGAGGCTGAGCCCTTCCTGTGGGGCTCCGTGCTGCCTCCCCTGGCTGCTGGGGCCTTGGGGGACGCTCCTGACATCTGGGCTGTGGGAATTCTCAGGCCGCCAGGTCGGGCTGAAGGAGGGACTTGGACGTCGGCTCCAGGAGGAGCCAGCAGCCTCGTGGGGCCTGTGCCTGGGTGTCCAGGGTGAACGGCTGAGCCCCCTCAGTGGGTGCCCTGTGGCTGACCCTGGAGGGGCTGGGGATGGGGCAAGGCTGCTTTCACTCGGGGCCCACACTCACCGGCCACTCCCTCCTGCTTGCCAGAACTTCCTTCACAAGTGGGACCCCCAGAGCCACCTGCAGCCACTTGCTGGGACCGCGGAGGCCACCTACCAGATGACTGTGGAGCTCCCATTCAGGTGTGTGAGTGGGGAAGGGCTTCTGTGTGGCCCCCTGGGGTGTGAAGCCAAGAGCTGGGGGGTGGAGGGGCCAAGGTGGCCGGCAGGCCCTGATAGCCCTCCTCCCTCTCCGCCCGGTTATCTGGCTTTGGTCCTGTGCTGCATGAGAGAAGCTCAGAGCTGGGATCGGGAGGCTTCCTCTTCCTGCCACTGGGGTCATATCCTTTGTCCTGTCCTGCTCGGGCATATTTAAGGCACCATCCTTCAGGGTCCATTGGATTCTGTTGGATGTAAACAGGGGACCTGAGGAAACCGCACCCATCTCTTCTCCTGGCAGCTTTGAGATGGTTCCTCTGCTAGTCCGGAAAGGTGGCCACCCAGAGGCAGCCTGCTGTGGGGCTGTGCCTTCCACGAGGGGCTGCTGAGTCACTGCAGCCAAGCCCTGCGGTCCTGCCAGCCAGCGGGAAGATGTGCCCCCCGGGCTTTTGAGAATGCCGTGTAGATATTTCTAGGGGCCGCATCCATCCTGAGGCTCATCTGAGTCCCTGTGTCTCTGTGTCCCTGTGACACTCACTTTGCATGTGTTGCTAAGCTCTGCTCCCTTGTTCTTGTGAGCAGACCGGGGTGTCCCTCCTTTAGAGGCCCCTGTGTGCATCTTTCCTCAATTCCACAGGGATATTCTGGAGGAGCCCAGGGAGGATGAGCTCATGGAGAGGCTGAACCAGCACCCGCACCTGCAGCTGTGCAGGTGACATCCGGGCTGCCGTCCCAGCCAGGGCGGCAGGAGAGAGAGGCTGGCCTACACAGGTGCCCATCATGGAAGAGGCGGCCATGCTGTGGCCAGCCGAGCAGGAAGAGACCTTTCCTCTGATAGACCACTAAGCTGGAGACAGGAATCAAGTCCTTTGCGTGCGGCCCAACAGCCATCCACAGAACAGCTGCTGGTGCTTCCGGGAGGCGCCGTGCGCTCCGCTTTCTTTTATAGCTGCTTCAGTGAGAATTCCCTCGCCCACTCCACAGGGACCTTACAGACAAAAAAGCGAGAAGCAGCGGCCTCCCCTGTCCCCTGCAGCTTCGGGTGCCTTTGCTGCTGGTGGCCGTTGGGGACCACAGGCCTGACCAGGGCCCGCACAGGTTAACCGGCAGACTTCCGGGGCATTCCGGTGGGGATGCTGGTGGTTTGACATGGAGAGAACCTTGACCGTGTTTTATTATTTCGTGGCTTGCATGAGTGTGACTGGGTGTGTTTCTTTAGGGGTCTGATTGCCAATTATTTTCATCAACAAGTCTTGCGAAGAATGGGATTGTCATTCTTAACTTCAGCACAATTCTAGTCCTGCTTCTCCGGAGTGGGGTGTTGAGTAAAGCTGCTTGGGTTGTGCACTGCACAAGGGCACGTGGCTGTGAGGCGTATCCTGGGGGTGGGGGGCGCCGTCTACCTGCCGTGAGGGGCACCTTTTCGGTTTTGCTCAAGGGCATGTATAAGCCAATGGTGACCTTGTTTCCTGTGTCCTCAGGTGTGTGGCAGGGGGCCTGGAGTGGGGAGGTGGGGCAAGTGAGCAGTGTGTGGAAAGCCTTGTTGCCACTTGAAGCTCTCCAGGTCCAGACTGACCAATGGTTTTCTCACCTCAGGTGCCAACCCACGCCCCCTTTCTGCTGCGGTTTGGGTGCCATCTAGTGGTGGGATGGGATTTGGGTGACTATTTTGAAGGCAAGGTGGACCCAGCAACTTCCAGAAACAGCTCCGGGGACGCCACTCCCCGTCACACTGCACACGGAGCCTGGTGCCCGGTCCGTGCCCGAGCTCAGCAGGACCAGGAAGGGATGGGCCCTGCCAGGGTTGCCTGTGCACTGTGCGTTTTCGCCTGGGAGGCACAAGTTCTTTCATCTGCTTTTCCTTTAGAGGTGCTGAGCCCACGCCGTAGCCCCTGTGGGGTGGCTGGGGAGGGGGCGACGCGAACAGCAGCGTGGTTGGTATTGAGACTGGGGAGAGGAGCAAATCCGAGGAGAAGGTCATGAGTTCCTTTTTACTCACGTCGAATAATAACAATAACGATATGGAAACCACCACAAACGTGGGGAAAAGTTGCAAGTCAAGAGAAGCTTCCTTCTGAATCACTCGAGTGGTTGCCGTTCTGGCCCTGCACCCTCTGTGCTTTGGGACGGTGTCCAACCCGCATTCGCGTCAGGAGTGAGTTGCACGTGGCTTTGTGGTCATGGTGACTTAATCCGCCTGGACGGTGGCTCCGTCTCCCTGGGCTTGTACGATCTTGGCGCTTCTGGAGATAAGCCCGTGGCTCCCAGGTTGTTCATGTGAGGTTTCCTTGTGGTAGGTTCTGGGTCTGCGTTTCGTCTAGGAGTGTCACAGGAGGGACGCTGCCTCCTGGCAGGGGCTGCCCGGATACAGTTAGCCTCCTGCTGGTGTTCTCGCTTGTTGCCTGGTGACGGTGGCCCCGGTCAGCTTCTCCACTGCCCAGTAACGACCCTTTGTAATGAATGAGTGGGGAGGTAGTGTGAAGCGATGCCAATATCCCATCCCCGTCAAACTGCCTTTACTTTTTCCTTCCTTCCTTGCTCCCACCTGTGTGGACCCGGCCCCTGCTTGTATTCAGGGCTGTGGTCTGTTACGATGTTTACTCTCCGGCTCAGGTCCTGCCTGTTTGACCCGTGAGAGCTCCTTCCTCTGCCTTTTGTGTTTTTTTGTTATGTACCTACAGTTCTTTAGCTGTTTCTTCACTTTCTGGTGCAAAAAGATGTTCCCGCCTTGTCTTATACCTGGCTGCCCCTTTCCCTTTCATTGACTGGAGCGAGCCCCGGCTCTGAGGAGCCCTGTTCCTTTGAATGGAGAGCAGCATCCAGGAATCAGGCTTTGGGTGCGAGGGGTGCTCCTGGCTGTTGCGGATTGCTGCGCACGGGAGCTCTTAGTGGACAGAGCTGGAGGATATGTGCACGTACTTCCATCTCTCTCATCTATTAACAGCTGAGAATGACACCAGTACCTCTGATTTCAGCCCAGCACCACAGGTTATGTTCCAGCTTTCTCTCTTTCCATAGTTCTAAGGCCCTTTCTGGAAATGGTTCTTATTCTCCTTATTCAATCTATTATTGGGTCAGTTTCCCTGCATGTCACCAGCCTCCCATCACTGCCACCCACTCCCCACAGAGAGGCCCTGCTCATCTGACTGGGGCTTTGACTCCCACACTGTGTGCCCCTCTTGTGTGGACGCCCTCCTGCCAAAACCTCCGGCAAACAGCTTTCCAAATGGAAGTTGTCACTGTCAGGGCCTTTACAATCAGGAACAGCAAAATCTGCGTGCTACTGAGGGTCCTGGCTCATTCAGATGCAATAAATATGCAAGTACATAGAAATGGCAGTAGGAGAAATGCAATGCTTTCTTCTCAAATATGTCTACATACAAAAGCCAAAATTATTAAGAAGAGTAAGAATTCAGCACAGTTGTTTCCTATGAGATTTAAAAAGTTTTTACTTTATTACCTATTCATGTATTTATTTTAGGGTCTTGTTCTGTTACCCGGGCTGGAGTGCAGTGGTGTGATCATGGCTCACTGCAGCCTCCAACTCGTGGGCTCAAGCAGTCCTCCTACCTCGGCCTCCTGAGTAGCTGTAACTACAGGCACATGCCACCAGGTCTGGCTAATTTTTTCATTTCTTGTACAGATGGGGTATCTCTGTGTTGCCCGGGCTATTCTTGAATTCCTAGGCTCAAGTGATCCTCCCACCTTGGCCTCCCAAAGTGCTGAGATTACAGGTGTGAGTCACCGCACCTGGCCTGCCATGAGATTATATACTGGAATCAATTGCTTTTCTAGATACTAGCAGTACGCTTGTCAATTATATTCAAGAATTCAGTTATATTCATTTTTTAAAGGATATTTAAGATTAAAAATTCTTAAGGTTTCTAAAAATAAATGGAAGGAAGATATTCAAGGCCTACATACAGAAAACTGTAAAACTTCATTAAAGCCCATGACTGTTGATACAAGTAAATAGAGACTATGGTAGTTTTCTGTTGCTGTGTAACAAGTCCCCACATACTTGGTAGCTTATCACAACCTCATTTCTTAGCTCCAAGCTGCAGGTCAGACATCCAGGCACGACTTGGTAGGTCCTCCGCTCAGGGTGTCACACAGCAGAAATTGGGGTGTCAGTGGGCTGGGTTCCTTCTGGGAGCTCCGGGGGAGTTTGCTCCCATACTCACTTGGGTTGTTGGCCAAATGCAGTTGCTTGCAGGTATAGGGCTGATGTCCCTGTTTCCTGCTGGCTGTCAGCCGGGGGCTGCTCTTAGGGACTAGAGGCCACCCACATTCCTTGCCATAGGGTCCCCTCCATCTTCAAAGTCAGCAACAAAGAAGCCGCCTCACGTTGACTCCCACTTGCCCTTTGAATCTCTTTAAGAAAAACCTGTGCCATTTACAGTTTCACCTGATTAGGCCAGACCCACCAGGACAGCTGTCCATCCTTAAAGTCCTGTGTGCCACCTAACACAGCCCAAGCCCGGGAGTGATGTGTTCACGGGAGGAGACTGTGTAAGGGTAAGGATCACTGGGGTCACCTGTGTGCCACCTAATAGGCAAGCCACACACTGGGAGAAGATTTTGGTAACTGATACGGCTAAGAACTTACATCCAGACCACATAAAAACTACCTACAAATTAGGAAGAAACAGACAAAGCAATAGAAAGTTGGGCTTTTCCCAGAAAAGCAAACACCAGGTTCCATAGCTATGTCAAAAGGTGCTCCATCTTACTAGTTATTAGAAATATGCAACATGAAACTGAACCACGACATTTCACTCACTCCATGGTCAAAGTGGAAGAGGTTGGACCATCTTAATTGTTGGTACTTACATGTTTACCCTTGGAGACAAACGAAGCTGAAACAACCTCTTTGGAAAATTGTTTGGTGTCATTTGTTGCAATTGAATAGGACGTATCTTAGTAATTCTCTGCTAGATACACTGACAAGAGAAACTGCTGCGCGTGTGCACTGGAAGACAGTTGGCAGAGTGATCCTGTATCAGTACTAGCAACACACCTGCCAGCCGAAACGTCCTCAACAGAATGACAGGTACACTGCAGCTTGGTGACAGTGGAATATTACATGGCCATGAACATGAATGAACTCCAGCTGCAAACAGCTACCTGGAAACATCTTAGAAACATAATATGGGGTTAACAAGTTCCGGAAGTCTCCACATGGCACAGTATTATTCATGTAATCTTCAAAAACAAGGTTTAGACAACATACCATGCAGGCACGCATACGTCAGTGATGAGATTACTTCAACACAAGACGACCGGAAGCCTATGGTCCAGGGAGTGGCCACCTCTTGGGGAAATGGGGATGGGATGGGAAGGAACTGACTGCCATGAGCAAGTTCCGGGGGAAGTTCTTGTCCTGGCGGGGCTGAGCAGGGCTCATGGTCATGGTATTAACCTTTGGAACATACACATGTACGTGTGTCGTTTTTTATGTGCCAAATATTAAAAGGAGAATGAGAGGCATTGAAGACAGGGAGGATGGACAGCTCCCCCAGGGAATCTTGCTGCAAAGGGGAGGTGGGGTCAAGAGGATATTGTGGTGGTTTTCACGTGGGAGGATCTTGTGTGGACTGATGGGGAAGACCTGGGGTGCAGCCAGGAAAGTGACAAAGCAGGAATGAGAAGGCCGGGCAGGGGTCAGCTACGGGGATGTTGCTGGGCAGTGGCAGGACATGCAGTGCCAGGCGCAGCAGTGGGGCAGAGGCAGGGCGGGGCTGGGTTGGGCTGGCGGGTCCTCTGTCCCCAGGGCTCAAGCACAGGGCTGACCAGAGCTGTGGTTCTGCTGGCCCCACAGGCCTGGTGTCTCCAGTGGGAGCACTCAGTGGCCATCAGGGTCCTCTCCCAGTTTCCCTCCCACGTGCTGTCCCCAGTGCAGGTGGCTGGATGGGGTCCAAGATCCATGCCCAGTCTGTCGCTGGGGCCTGGGATCAGGGTCTTAGCAAGCAGGCTGGGGCCTTTCATGTGGTCTCTGTCCCGCTCGGCACAGCAGGGGGAATCTTCCCTACCACCAGAACGGCTTGGCTTGAGTTTCCTGCCTGAGATAATTAGTGGTTCTTAGGAAAAGGTTAGAACAGTTCTTGCTTAAAAACCACCGAATGGGACTGGGCACACCGCACCGCTCCTAAAAATCAAAGAGGAGGCGTGGAGCCCAGACAACACTCCTCACATCAAAGCGGCCAGCAGACGGCCCAGGGCAGCGGGCACAGCCTCCTGTGCGCCTCTCCCCAGCCCTCGAATCACGTTTCAGGGTGTGTGTGTGGGGCAGCTATTCTTCTGAGTAATTCAATCGGAGCCTCACAGGGTGGTGGGACCCACACCTGTCAGGGGGGCTCTGTGTAGGCCTGGGTGCCTCCCTGGTTCCGACCACAGTTGGCTAATCCACACGTGGGCCTAGGCCCCAGCAGCACCTGTTGCCAGGTGAGCCTGCCTGCCTGCCTCCCAGGCCCTGCAGGTTGTGGCCTTTTTAAGCGCAGCTGACGGGCACACTGACTGGTGAGGTGGGTGGGGGCCCGATAACACAAGTCCATGGTGAACATTCTAGAGTGGTTCTTATTTCCGAAGCTGAGACCTACGCAGTGCTGGGTGTTTGCCAGCACGTCTCTGACTTGAGTATGCGTCAGAACTCCCTGGGGAATGTTGACAATGCAGATTCCCAGCCTCTGCCCCCGAGTTTCTGATGGAGATGGCCAGGCTTGAGGGTGTACATGTGTGAAAAGTTCCAGGTGCTGCTGCTGGCAGGGGCCACATGTGGAGGACGGGTGGCCTAGGAGCTCCAGCTTCCCTCCCTCCTTGCCTTGTTTTCTTTCAGTAAATTGTAAGGAGCACCCAGAGCTGCTAGGGACCAGTTTGAAACCAGCAGTGCTTTGGGAGGAGCAGCTGCAGAACGGCCCCTTCTCTGGGTGGTTGGAATGAACCTAGCCTCTCTGGGTGGGGGAATCAGGGAAGAGTGCTGGCTGCTCAGTGCTGCGGTGCCCCTGGCCACACTGGTGGACGTGTGGCTTGGCCGGCAGGAGCCAGGCAGGACGTTGGCCCGTCTGCCTTGGCTCTGGAGTGTGTGCAGGGTGCACGGCTGGATGTGGAGAGCCTGACCGGACCCTGCCACTCCCAGGGGCACAGACACCAGCAAGAGCCCCTGGGCATGAAGAGAGCAGAAATGGGGTCCCGGCCTCTGTGGGGTCTGGTAGCTCCCGGCTGATGCCTCCAATCCTACAGCTCCATGCTCCTGGGCTTTTGAGCCCCTCCACTCCCCCTGCGAGGCCCTGTGGTGTGGAGAAATCTGTAGCTATTCGTGCCATCGAATGCCAGAAAGAACAGAAGGTGGCTGACATCTGGTGCTGTAGCACGCAGTCAGTGTTTGTCTGGGGCTACTGTGAGCCAGGCACGGGGCGCTCACGTTCTCACCTGGACGTACCAGGGGGACGACAGAGAAAAGGCTGGGACCAGGAGGAGGAGGAAGAGGCTGGATATGAAGCGTGAAGACCTGCTGTTACTCCAAGCCAGCTTGGAGCTTCCTAAGGGCCTTTGGGAGAAGGGAAAAGGTTTCTACCTGAAGAGGCACGGGTCTTCTTGTCGGTCAGCCCGGCCCTTCCTGGCGGAGACGTGCCTGGTGGGCTAGGCCTGGAGGAGGCCACCACCCGGCGTTGGTGACCCCAGCACCATGTTGGGAGACATTGGGATGTGAGCCAGGACCCAGAGAAGCCTCGGTTTGGTCGTCTGCGTGTTTCGAAGGCTCATGGCGGGAGGCCCAGGGGGTGAAGGCACTTTCTAGTCTTGGAGGCAGGGAACACTTGCCCATTGTGTTTTAGTTCCCTTGAAAGGAATCTCAGGAGAGTAATAGTAGTGATAATTGGTTGGGAGTGACAGAAGTCACGTTGCTGGGGGCCTGCTGGCCTCTAGGTGTTTTCCGGAGCCCTTTACCTGCCGGCCGGTGGATGGATGTGTTTAATCCTACAGAGTCACCCACTGACAGATGGGGAAACTGAGGCTCAAAGAAGGTGGATAACCTGCCAAGACGG